AGGGGAGGAGGGTGTGCGGCGTGTAGGTACGGAAAACGGTGGCCGGAGGTTCGCGGGGCAGGGTTGGTGAAGGCGAGGGACGGAAGAGAGCATATACAGTGTACAGTACGGCTGAGAGGAGGATGATGTTGAGGGGAGAGATGACGGCGGAACTGGTGGAGCAGTCAGTATTAGCGCTGGCTATCATGATTACTGAAGTCGTTGAGGAAGAAAGGGAGGGAGGCGTACGCATCCCAGGCCTTGGCGGCCTGGTCGGCAACGTGCTTTTCAACGTGGTCCATTGGGGGAGCTGAGCTCAGATGCGAGCGTATTTGCAAATTGAGATGGAGTTGGCGGAAAGAGGAGGGCGAAGCTGGAGGTTGAAGGAGGGGGGGGTCGACACTAATAATACTGGATGCTTGTGCAATCGGTCGGCGCCTTGAGGCAGGTATGTTTCGCCCTGGTTGGAAGATTATCCGATTGGGAGGCTACTGGTGGCACGGCAGAGGCACGACCATAAAAAGAAAAAAGCGTAATGGGTTTTAGAGGAGGGCAAGGGGGTCAGAACGGGGCAATGCTCTTTCAACGTGGTCGAGTTGGATGTTCAAAGTATTTCAAAGCGAAGCAGACTGGTCGGCGAGATTTTCCCCACTTTGGCGAGCTCCTTCTACAAGAAAGAGCTGTCGTCACCACCAACTACCGTTTCTACCATTTCACACTGTTGGGGAAATATTGCCCGAGTTTCTTTCAGGCGTGGATGGAACGAAGGAAGAAAGGAAGAGCAGGCTAGACCCCAATTTGGACAGTTTTCAATGTATGTAAGAAAAAGGTGCCTTATCTGGAATCCAATTGGGGCGTGCGCAATATCAAATAATCAATCATCTGAAGCAAGCTTACGTTCTTACGTTTGAGCTCACCTTTATCTGAGCTGTCGGGGACGGACACACACCCACCAACAGGCACTGTCCGCGGAGCCGTTCCTCGGTCGGAAATGCACATATTGTTTCCACCGGGACCGGAATTCGGGAACGTTGACTTGCCCCTTTGGTCATCCCGCAGCGATGGAACATCCTAGAAGCGTTCAGATATTAAATTGACTGACAAGTTGGACTCAATCGCAGTCGCACAGCCTCTACGACAGATTGTTTTATGAATGAACGGAACTGTAAATAGTCACAAACTATCAATGCTCAGTTTCTAAACCTTGGGTTGAGATTGTTGAACCAATTCAAAGCATTACTGAAAATACAGAGCGGCTAATCATATGTGTTCGCCTTTGACGAAAGAATTATGCAAGATAACGGGGATTTGATCTAGTGGAATAGAGTGATAATCTTGGCAGACGAGAGCTGTAATGGTTGTGAAGAAGGAGGAAGGCGCGACAGAGCCCGCCTCCAACAGCAAGAGGTACGTACAAATAGGGCTGATTGACAAATAGGGCTGATTGACAACCTCATCTAAAATCTGTAGATGGCGAGTCGACGAGCAAACTGGACATCATATATCCCATGATAGGATCTAATTCAGCACATCAAGGGGGATTTGGTCTAGTGGTATGACATCTGTTTTGCATTGTCTCAAATGATAATTACAGAAGGTCGGGGGTTCAATTCCCTCAATCTCCAATTTATCACGCATAGGTTCCCTCGCTAGGCGTGTTTCTCTTTTTTTTTTGGTGTGTTTCATAATTATTAACATAGTTAATTCTATCTAATAGTGGCCATTGTTTTCTCAAAATAGCGTTTGGTATGGACAAAAGAACGGGTATAAGCAGTTTTGGTCGGAGATCAAACCCATACAGGTTTGTGAGATATACTACTCCGTGTAGGCAAGGGAGGTAGACGCAGTTGGCATATGGCAAATACACGTAGCTCGTAGGTTAGAGATTCAGATGCTGAGACATTCTTGTTCCATTCTCGCCATTTAACATCGTGGTTGCAGTGCCTATCTTTTCCTAGCTTCAAGCAGTGCACCAGGAGGGTTTCATTGTCTTATTTCCCCTGGTGATTGTTTCCTCACCCAAACGCATTTTCTAATATTGATGGCCTTGGTTGCCCTCAATTGTTCTTTGCGTCAGCTAATTAGTGGTATCTGCTATTCACCAGATACACATTCCCCAGGCCAAGTCGTGGCGCAAGTCGTGACGCACTTGAGTCTTCAAAAGATTGCCGTGAATGTACCACCGCGGGCGTTTTCTTTCTGTGCACGGGAATTTTGTGGTGTTTTTGCGAGAACGAGTCCGAGTCAACAGTAGGATCAAGCCTACCATTGGCTAACTAACTGCCTGGGCCCTGTGACTGTCATTTCATGTTTATTATTCTCGACCCGATGTGGGTATCGTCATTGGCTACATTACGCAAAACGATATTATCATCAGTGTTCAATTTCCACTCTAAATTCAGGAAATACCTTTTGCTACAATGGAACGTCCCCTAAAACGACAGCGGCACGACGATCAGGGCTCAAAAACAGCTGAGCCCTTGACACGCCAAGTCAGCCCTCCAAGCAAGAAACGATACATCGCATCTATCATCAAGTCTCCCTGGCAGCTCACATGGATTCGAGATCTACATAACAAAGGGACAATCGTGGCATATGGTGAGTGAATAACTGAGGCGCAAGTTGTGGCGCAAGATGCCGCACTTATCTGATTGAGAAGATAGTCGAGGAAAGGTGAGCAGGCCTGATCCAGATCTAGGTTCGATTCCTAGGTTAACCACTCCAGTTGCTTTTTTTTTTGCTAATTCTATATATTTTATTTTAAGGTTTCTCGAGAGGACTGTTCCTCCGCTCCATCCTAGCATTACGCACCCATCCATGCGCCGTCTGCTCTGTTCCTGATGCCGCTACTATCAAACTTCCATCCCTTCTCAACCTTGCAATATCGCCTAAGGTCTCTCTGGAAGGTTGTCCCTCCGCTCCATCCCAGCACTGCACATCCCACCGTCTTCCATAGACTCACAATGATGTCAACTCGTCAGTGAGGTGCATCCTCCTCGTCGGGGTCTTTCCAGATCACCATTGCCTTATCGAGCGTGTCGAATCCGGATTTAGGGGTTCCTTCTCCTCTCCATGGAAGTGGTGCTTGTCCCCGTTCACTGTTCCTTGTTGACAGAGTCAGCATATGAGTGGTTAGGTGAGCTTTCCAAGGCTTACCACAGTCTTCACCACTCTCAATGTCAGTTCCTCGTCCTCATGGCTCAAAATGATGTCCACAGCGCAAAACTCCTACGGTCTCTGACAGGGAGAGATGTTTGTTTTGCATTGTCTTGAATGCATGAGTATACAAAAGGTCGAGGGTTCAATTCCCTCAATCTCCATTTTTTGGAGAAATTGTCTTTTTGATACCTACATCTTCCAAAGACCGGGCACGCTAACACACTAAGGCGCAGTTGAACAAAGCTGCTGTCACCATTTACAACCCTGTCTCACACTCTAAAGCAACCTCTCCAACAGCTAGGCCTGTCCGATGCTATAATGTCAACCGAAACAGAAAGACACACATTGTGACAATTAGACCTATGAATTTACATTTGCCGCCCATTTTCCAGCTGCCCACCCGCCTCCAGCCGGAGGAGCTGCACGAGCTGGAAGGAAAGATTGACTCGCTAACTTATAATATCCACGAGGCAGACATTGTTTTGGGTAATATCAGTCGACGAGAACGAGCCATATTTGAGCTGCGGCGCGCGAGGCTTGAGACGATACCACTGTGCAAACAAGTGACGGCTGTGCCTCACACTGACCAGCTTCACGATACGGCAAGCTTGGTGGTGTTATGAGTAGAGTGAGTGAGATTCTTCTTCATTTCTTTTTTATTGAAATCTTCATTCAGGCCAAAGATGATGATAATAGTTACTCCTTTCTAGATTCTATATGGTAGGTAGTATTACTATGGAAGTGGTGCACTCATTCATTCATCCCTGGTCCGTCAACCAGGCTGCCCAATAGCGCATCTCTAAAGAACCCCACATACAGTCATGGTAGGGGCATGGACTATGGAGATGTCAATCGAGAAAAGACGCCGTAAGTTAGGTTTCAGCTCTAGCATGTGTCGCTCGAAAGCCTCGGATGCAAAAAGAATGTTGTTGGTAGGTATCTCTACTGAAGGCCAAATCCATACGGTGTTTCTAATGGGCATCAACGCTTTATCTTCCATAATCGGGACTATAAATATATTGGGCCACTTATTTGTAGTAATCGTAAATATCTATTCGCATTCGGGGTACGGCAATAATTGATAGCAACAAGACAGAGCGAATATTATTGCAATGTATACCGCCTTTATGGTCTCCGCCACTATATCGTCTCAGCTCTCTATCAAATCTACATCACCAAGGCTCTCTCGTCTTATTAAATCACCTAATAATATCCACCATCTTGCCTGCCTTGTGCTTGTCTCCTTGCTTTGCTATAAAACCCACTGGGAACGTGAATCTAACTGAAGTTTGGTCTTGCTAGCTTTGTTGGTTACTTCCAACTTCACCATTATCGCATGATCGCCTCTTGGTTGTTCTGGATCACGTGGTAGAGCCCATTTTGATGTAGACAAATGAATAACAAGCGATGGCAATTTCAGACACACAAGCAGGCTGGCAGATGCCACCAGAAATAGCAACAGCAAGGTTTTAGAGGTTTACCAACACGTTCCACGAAAAGGAAGTGGAAATGGAGGGGGAAATTCATAAGACGGTGCAGCGTATTGCCTTATTGACTGGCGGTCGACGTATACTGGAATGACAAGTTCAGGTGGTATCAGTTAAGCAATGAAGATAGGAGTCAAATCTTGACGAATAATGTATAAAATAAATCATCCTTTTATACAGGCTGACTGGCTCTCAGGTTCCCTCTGCTATTTCCTGCCTCGTTAGTGGCAGTATCCTTGGGTTAAGTTCTCTCCCTCCAATGGACACTTCTCGATAAGGCTTCAACGCATAACTACCCAATCACCACGCAGAAATAAAAATAGAGGCCATTCCCTTATCTACCGTGTTATTCAACACATTCTCAACAATTCACAAGGCCAACTGGTCTAATGGTTAAGATGGGATCCCAAAATCTGGTCGCCTATCCCCCGGGCAATACGGGGGGGTAGGCGACCAGGCCTGATCCAGATCTAGGTTCGATTCCTAGGTTGGCCGTTGAGATTTATTTTTTGCTCATTGTTTCTACATTGTAGATCGCTAGTTGGATTGTTGCTTGTCTCATGCCGAGTTCGTTGGGGGCATGCAGTTGTACCTTACCAATGTTTGGCTAGTGTTTCATTGTCAAGGGAGATTTGCTTACTATTGTAGAATATTCTCTCGCTGGTATGAGCATCATTTTATCAACTGTTGCCTGTCTTACCATTCAATCCTTGAATGGTGTATCCATAAGAGGATCGATCATATGTTGTTTATGACCTGGTGGTTCCCTCCATTCCTCTGTTAGTTTCATTTTGTCATAAGGCACAATGGTATATGCACTGTTTTAAGAAGTCTTCCTTTGTATGAGAATTACAGTTACTCCAATTTTTCAAAAATTACTCTATGTACATTGCATATTATTTAAATCACCCAAGTTCAACTTTCCATTCATTCTGATATGAGTTACCCAAGCAAAAGAGTAATGTCCACCTTGACAAACCACTCAAGTCCCATTTTGCTTATGAAAAAAAAAATAGAAACCTATATCAGTGCATTTCTCAATGACCAACTCTAACCTCCCCAATTATTATCTCAAAAGCTATCCATTACTTTATTACTATATACACTAATTGCGTATCTCTGCGTTGGCTACCCGTTTTAAAGGGCATTACCAGGCGATACCACGTGGAGGTGCAGAGTCCGACTTCACCGCCCGACCTTCAGCAATCAGGGAAGTCCATTCTTCGAATGGCAAGATGCTGAAGGCGCGCTCGTGCTACTGACCCATAGGCAATGCACAGGCGCTCGCCAAACGCTTACAAGCGATGGCGACTTCTTCTCCTTCACAAAAGAGAACGATCTCCCAGTTCAATACGAAATGGGGTATCACCTGCCAGGGCTAAGTGATCTTCCTAACCCACTGCGGGTAGTGATAATGGTTGTTCTGTCGAACACCCATAAACAGGCTACGAGGCCTGTGAAACACATTTAAAAAATCGTGTCTTGAACTGTCAACAATAGTTAGCCAATAATGTACCCCAACTCTTTAGGCCTTGGATGACAATTTGACGTCAATCACTCCGGTACTGGGCCTGCGACAGCATTCCGGTCAGCTGCGTTGCGTAGTCGGGTGTTTCGTGTGATGACATTTGCAGGATGGTCCTGCCCATCATATGGATCATCGCCATGTTCTGGTAAATACCGAATACCTCGAGGGTATTTAGTTGGATCATAAAATACAGCCCAGCCGCAGAACTCGTTGTTAAACTTGTAAGAGTCCTGCCCAGGGCCCTCTAAGAACCCCTTCATCTTGTCAATACGCAGTAGGGTTCTACTCTGTATCATAGTGCGGTCAGGACTCGTTCGGCTGGCCTCTGCGTCAACTATCTGATACATTTTTAAGAAGGCTGCCCACTTCTTGTCCCTGAGTTCTCTTCGGACCACAGCTGAAGCATTCGCAGCATCAATCTTTTTGACGTCAGTCGCGACTCGTTTTGGTGCTGGTGAGTCAGCTGGGTTCTCAGCTGTCCGTTTCGCTCTAGTTTCTCTGCTGAGTTGGGTAAAATGACTCTCAATGGCCGACAACGGAGCATGTCCCTTCTCGACGGCCTGTCGTATCTTTTCAGCGAGTTCTGTATATTTTACGATCAGGGTGGGAAAGTAATGATGGACTTCCTCCACACTCAGCGCTCGGTTTTGTTCTTGCTCGCGTCGTCTTAGAGCTAAGAATACAGTCCACGGTTTAGGCGTCATAGAAACAGCATCAGGGTTAAGAGACGAGCTCCTAAAGCGATGCTGGGCCGCCCAAGTAAAAAACCCAGTGTTCTGGATGGGAACACCAGCGAATCCGCAAGCAACGTTCCACATAAGGTCCCAAACAGCACCGCGCGACTCGCTACTGTTTGCGAAGACGTATTGGCCATGGAAAACGCGAATAAAGACCTGTCGAATCTCTTTTTGTTCATCAAGGGCTAGGTATATCCGAGGTAGAGCCCCAAACATGTTGGTTCCAACTTGAACCTCAATACATTTGAAGACAAGCCTTCGCGCAATGACTGACTGCTTGACTTCTTGCCATATTTCATCCCCCAAAACAACCACGAAGCGGTCGTTGCAGGTGAGCGAGCTTAAATGCTCGAGACAAGCCGTTCGAATTGCAGGCCAATTCGAGTATCTGGTTGGCCATTGTGGCCCATTAGCAGCATCATAAGGGACGCGCATTGGGAAAACATCCTGCGTCCTAACATCTCTTGGTAGGCCTATAAGAATTGGTTATTAATGATGAAAAGGAGCATCTAAATTAAAGTACTTTGCATATTCTTACTTTCTGAACCCATAGACTAGGACTATCTGGGTCCATAACATGACTAAAGATAGAATTGGGAGACGTAAATGTTGGATAATGCCAGATCATTGTAAGTCTGGCTTTTGCTGGGCCTGACGGGGCTGCCATCTCATGTAGAGTTACTTCCCCTTTCGATAATTTTCCTATCGTCAGGCAGAACTTCTCCCATTCTTCTTTGACAACTGGGCAATGGGTATCCCAGGTCGACCGATATTGATTGCCAGTAAAGGCGTCGATCGGCAAAAGCGACTGCTGGACGGGAGACTTCTCCTCGTCAAGAAAGCTAATAAGCTTTATTTTAAGCTCACTCTCAGAGATGAGCTGTAAAACTAGGTCCCTGTAAGTAGGAGCGGAACTTCTCACCCCAAGGAACCCGGCTGTGGACTTCACAGCATCGGCGCCAGATAACTGATACTGGGCTGTCTGGTCTGCCGCATGGTCAGTGATAATTTCAAAGGCCCTTTTTACATCACTGGGAATGATTAGGCCTGTTTTTGAGTCAATGGTAGGCTCGAATTCTTCCTATCCTACCGTGTCTTCCGAGGAAGACTGGTGGGTTGGACTCGGGGGTCGGTCCTGGATCTTGACATCGGGGAAGAAACTGCTGGTAGCCATTGTGCTCGAAGATAATCTTGGGCAATTTAAAACTCAATATATAATGGTAAATTATTTGTCGCTGATGCTTGCAAAGATTAAAATCTAGAGCAACACCATGCGATCTTGATGATTGACCCTGGGAGAACGTTCCTTCCTACTGAGGCCGGCCTCCTTCCCGCTTCTTCCCCCAACACTGAGATTCAATTTCTGTTGGGATAGCACCTTGGAACAGCCAGGGTAGGTGCTAACGTATAAGACACGCAGGAGATTGAATAGGTTCCTAAGGTAAGATATATTGCTTGAGGGAACATCAATGGCTGAATATGGTGGTAGCTGCGTAATAAAACAGTCTACTCACTGCCTGAGAAGCCGGCCATGTTCAGAGCAGCTTACCTTAATGTGTGCGAGCTTCTTATTTGTCATATTGTATCTAAGATCCATTGATACAATTTTGACTAATTATTATTTCTTCAGTCTAATATTAACTAGAAGGGCTGCGTTTATGGAAGTTCTATATCACAAAGCCCACCATTCATAGGAGCACAGCAAATATGACTCCATCTTTTTGGTTTCAATACACAAATATTGGGAGGTAGATAATTAAAGTATGGAAAATGGAAACTAGACTTCTTCTTGGAATAATCATCAACCATTACTGGAAAATATAACAATCACTCAATAGCCCCAGTTGCATCAGTTCGCAGTGTTAACGCACAAGTCTCCGTAACGCTCTCATCTTCCTTACAAGCTAGCTAAAAGCCGTAACAATTGAATACTTGATCCTCTCTAAATTTACTGATTCCTTCGATCAATCAGTACATGGAATACTTGCAACTTGCTATCTTGCATCTGGGACAGTCCATGGCACCTTCCCAAGCTTGGTTTTGGGCCTCAATGGAATTTGTAGCCACTTAAATTAAAGTAAAATGGTTGGCATCACAATCAGTAACTTTCTCCGAGGTGGAAGGAGCACCATTGGAGTGATTGCTCTGGTAGACAAATATTGTAGGTGCTCCTCCTCCTTTTCTCGTTTTCTTCCTTCTCCAGTCACACTCGGACGATGTAAGATTTTTACTTTTGCTATTTTCCTACCCATATTCCCGGCCTTGTAGTCTATCCCATTTCACTTCTCACTTATACATCAATATCACTGAGGCGAAAGAATGAGACCTCGCCTGACTGGCAATTCCAACCTTGGTTCAGTCCTTCATCATACATCACTTCTCCTAACCCCATGCTTTGTCTCTCTTTATTCTTTACACAAGCCTGCTAGTTCTGAAGACCCATGAGTCGCAACCTGTCAATTTTGTCGCACACATTCCCATCTTCTACAGCTGAACTTGAGTCACTCTATATCATTCTGCAAACTCACTACATAATTATTCTCATTATCTATTTTCAAGTTATTGATTTCATTGCTAACATTATATAGCTTTATAACTAATTTTATTATGGCGGTAAGTTTTCACTTACTTCTTACCAATCAATACATTAATAGTGTCATGGCTAATTTATAACTCAGAACAAAGATTGTGAAATGGTATGTCTCTCTGCTTGCATTACTAGATTATTCTATACTGCATACTAATATTGCTTAGACAATGGAGCAAACCGTTTGTAACCCTCTTCAATTAAAGTTTAGCTCAACTGTACTAACAGAATAATGTCTAGACTCTCCCGGATCGCACTCTGCCTGGGGAATCGACCAAAGAGAAGAAGCCCCCAAAGGCCCCGGGGGCCAAGACCAGGGGGGCGGGATCTGGGGTATCCCGCCCCAAGTGCTCCCATTGCGGAAAATGGGGGCATCGACCAGATCAGTGCTGGCACAAGCCAGCGGCGCGTATGTTTCCGGAATATATTCAATTCCAATAGCGAATAAATGCTCATTTATTCTTTCTATATAGCCACCATCGTCAACAACATCACAATGGGGGCCGGGGCCACCATTTCCATAATGGGCCCTGTAAGACAAGATACATACCAAAATTACTGGACACATAACTGACAGCTCTAGGGGGTGACGACCAACAGGGTCAAGAAGACCCGCCGCGGGGGCAAGAAGAAGAAGCAGGCC